AAGAAGAAGAAGAAGAAGAAGAAGAAGAAGAAGAAGAAGAAGAAGAAGAAGAAGAAGAAGAAGAAGAAGAAGAAGAAGAAGAAGAAGAAATGAGATTAAATAATGACAACGTTATCAGAATAAAGGATCTTACAGTGTTGAAAGCTCGTACGTCATCTCCGAACATTTTGAACAACTTGTCTCTACAGAAAGCGAGCCCTTCTGTTTTACAGATGATTTCCACGATTGCTATATTTGTAAACAAACCAACGTCTGTAGATCCATGAAAGACCCCATTGAAAAAAGTCTGTGGACAGAATCATATCAAAGTGTAAGTTTAGTGTTTCATGGCAACGATAACAGTGGTATATTCTGCACTTCTGAACAAAGAAAAAAAATAATAGAAAGTGTAGGAATCATAAGAGTGCGGGAAAGAACTGTTGACAAAAAGACTGACTGATAAAAATAGAGTCAGAGACTGACATACAGATACATAGAGGATACAGATACAACAATGCCTGCTTGCGTGTTTGTGGTTAGAGGTATTCTCTCTCTCTCTCTCTCTCTCTCTCTCTCTTTTTTTTTTTTCACTTCCTCTCTTTGTTTCTCTTTCTCTCCTTGTTTCTCTCTTTTTCTCTCTGGCCCTCCCTCTCCCACTTGCTCTCCACGTGTAATACCAGTCTAAATGTCTATATATGTTTTTTTCTGTCTCATCGTCCGTCTGTCTGTACATGTTTATGTTTGATTGTGTGTGTGTGTGTGTGTGTGTGTGTGTGTTTGAATGCATGTGTGCGTTTGTGTTTACTTTCGTGTTTGTGTAATACTTTTTTCTTTTTTTCTTGCAGTCTAAATGCAGTATCAATACTACTATAACTAATAAACAGAATTCTCGTGCATCAGAGAAAGAAGTACCTTGAAAATTTCTCTGATCTTCACAATTTTTTGCGTGAACCCAGTAGTTTGTTGCAGTCTGGCGGCTGGTGACAAAGCATAGAAGTGGCGGACCTTAGATGTAATGTACTTATCCCGTGAGCCATGTATGAGCATTGTGCTGCAGCCTTGTGAGTGGCCCACGTAGAACAGTTGTTTCCTGTTTGTCACCTTCAGTACGTAGTCGATCATGGCAGGAATGTCATACCGGGCCATCTCGTCAAAACTAGATTGGTGTGTCAGAAAGAAAATAATTTTTTATATACATAGATAAATATAAATGTGGGGGTGGGGGTGACGCATCACAATGACAAAGATAACAACGACAACCACAGCAATAACAACAACAACCAGCTTGAGGGTTGGGGAGAGGGGGGAAAGGGGGGGGGGGGCAGAACAACTAACCTCCATCTCCAAAAATCGGAATGCGATGGCGATAGATGTTTGTGCTGCTTGGAGTAGGAGTTTCCCCTCATGTTCCCCAGCCAGACGTCCGCCCCGGCATCAGCCAACAGAAACGCCAGGCTCTGATTAGCCGGACTGACCAGGTAGTCTGTGGAAGCCCCGCACAGGCCATGCTGAAGAAGCACCACGGGTCGTACGTCTGTTGGACAAAAGACAAGACCAGAACAGTCACAGACATTCCATCTATGCTTGGAGAAAATATGGTATAGGTTTCACGCCCCTATCAACACTATTAGGTTATTTAAGAGGCGGGACTTCCGAGTTCAACGTCTGTTTCCGAAAGGAGAGAGCCAAATAGGAAATTCGTGTACAGTGCCTTTCCCAAAGACAAAACGTCAGACCCAGCTGAGGCACAAATCCCTGAACCCGCAATCTGGCGATTTTGTGTCCGGTACCCTAGCTACTAAGCTACCCACGCCACTCCATCTATGCTTGGGATATCATAATATACTTACTATGACCATGTGGCACTTTTTTTGGGGGGGGAGGGGGTCTTTTCATGAGTTAACATGGTTAACTTCCATGTTGAAAGTAATATTTCAAACCATTAATTTATTGTGCAATGCATATTTTTCAAGATGGCGCCAACGTCACGTGACCGCATTGACACAAACATTACATAAATGATAAAGTATCGTTTGTAGACTTCTGAACTTTTTCGGAAATTTGTTGATTCCAGTCTTGTTCTTTTTCCAAGCGATATTGAGATTTTTGTGATGTACCTTATTTTCCATGTCTTTTGCTCTTGGGAATTGGGAGGGGGGGTGGATGTAAGGCGTTTTTTGTTATATTATGACCTTGGTGGATGGGAAGTGTTACGGTCACACGCACTTGGCCAGACCATTGATAATTTATTCATAGCTAGATTGATGTCAATCATATCAATGGTGCACCCGTCACTGTGCTGTTTTCCTAATGCTGCCACTGATGATGATGATGATGATGATGATGATGATGATGATGATGATGATGATGATG